ATATATATATATATATATATATATATATATATATATATATATCATAGTTTATTTTCATCTTTCACATATTTTAAAAATGCATGCAAACCTAACAAAATCATATATTGGAAGCTTGCATAAGTTTGTTGGATCGTGATGTAATTGACTCAAAGTTATACTACAGATATAAAATCAAATAATAGTGGAAGTTAATAGAAGAGATAAAATGGTAAAAAATATATTAATTAAATATAATATGCACTGTTTTGTTGCTATTAACAAATGAAGTATACCTGAAGATTGACAAACATTTGCAAGCCTCTAATAATAAGTAGAATTATGTAAATATAATTGGAAAATAGTACTACATACCTATTAATAACCTGCCTTGGGAATATTTCGAACATAATCTCTCTAACTAAGCGTGCAAAGGGTAATTTAGGGATTAATAAATTAGTAGTGTGCCTCAGATGCCTAATTTCCCTTAGTACGTGAAATCGCTTCTTTTTCTTATATATTATTACTTCTGTCTAAAAGAGTAATCATTAAAAAGTTCAGTTAATTATTGAAGATCTAGTTTAATGATAGAGTTTGATAGAGTTCTAATAATGGTTTGACAATTTGTTACTCACATCCTTTTGTTTCCTCACTGAAGAACGCTCACGTGAACTGTGTGATCTAAAATACATTTGATGAATTATAAATATATGAATTATAACCACTAAAAATTAAAAAATAAAATAAATCCACTTCAGTTATAATAACAATGCTCTTGTCAAGTGAATAACATTGGTTTTTCTGATGTTAAAATTGTACATTATAAACAACTGTGTAATAAAATTCCTAACAATAATTATTCTATTAATAAGTAAAATGATATAAAATATGAGGAATAATTGAAATATATAAAATATAAGAAATAATTGAAATTAGAAAAAGAAGGGACGAAAAATAGCGCCTGTCTACAAAAGCGCCTGTCTCAGATTTTTATTAAATTATATAATAATATGACAGTAACCTAGGTGTAGGTTTTCGCCGAACCATTATCGTATGCCTGTCTCACAATCGTACAAAACACTGATTTTGCCACTATAAACTAAATGTTAGGTTTGTCAGTTTATAATGAAAATTCAATACGTGAGTTACAGATTGCCGCCAATTTTAACGCAAACATAACCTTCAAACAAATCGATCGAGAGAGCATAGGGTGCGTTCAGCGAAGAGTTGCACAACAGTTGAGCAATCCGTCAATGGGCGCGTTCAGCGGAAAAAGCGCTCAGTGAGCAATCAACGATTATTGGTTCTTACTGTTAGATCCCTCTAAATCTAGACCAATTATATTAACGAATTGCTCAACTGTTCGCTGAACGTACAATGGCTTGGTTTACATCGTGCACTTGATACGCGTACTAAATAGTAACTTTCTATTAGATAATCTTAATATCGACGATATATATAAACAACGGTATATTAAACTGGTATAATACTCATCAACAAAACGTATTGTATTGATTGAATGCGTTACCGTTGATATGCATTGTCGATATTAAGATTATCTAATAGAAAGTTACTATTTAATACGCATATCAAGTGCACGATGTAAACCAAGCCAAAAGGACCAATCATCAATCCAAATCTTATGGAGGATTTATACTGCGTCCGACATCTGACACGATACGATTGGCTATTGGTGTCGTACGTCATGTCGACGCAATGTGAATCTTCCTTTAAGTTCACCTTCAGATGGTATGGATTATTTCATTGGCTACGGAGTATCTGA